CAGATGTATGAAGTAAACAATTGCTTTGGGTACAAGCAGTTCATGACTTCCAGAACCATTTCCAAATCTAAGGTGCTGAGGTTTTATATACTCCACGGTGAATAATTCTGCACCATCCTCCCCCAGTGTTGGACTTTTAGCTTGTCCACTGAGTTCCATCAATGGTTCTCAAAGTACGTTTCCCGGACTAGCAGGATCAGCATTAACATCACCTGGGAACTTGTTAGAACTACAAATTCTAAGGCTCCACCCCTGACCTAGTGAATAAGAAACTCTGGGGGTGAAAAGGTGGGTACCCAGCAACCTGTGTTGTAATAAGCCCTCTAGATGAGTTCAAGGCCTGTTGTTAGAACTACAAATTCTAAGGCTCCACCCCTGACCTAGTGAATAAGAAACTCTGGGGGTGGAAAGGTGGGTACCCAGCAACCTGTGTTGTAACAAGCCCTCTAGATGAGTTCAAGGCCCGCTAAAGTTCGAGAACCAATGGGTTAGATGCTTCTGAACATCCCTCCCTGGGGTGTACATGGGAACTAAATGAAACTGCATGTTTCCCGAGGATGGGACCCTACTCTGTGGGTCCTCAGTGTGTGGTATATTGCCTGGTACACAGCAAAAACCCATAGTGCACATAATGAAACAGAACTAAACTTGTAAAAGGACAGTGAACACAAAATCTGATCATACAGGCCTTAAGAATTGGTTATCTTTAGCCAGGAGTCAAAAAATCCCCAGAAAAAATGCCAGTCAGCAATGTTGTTTAATAGATAAAAGCTTGATTATTTTATTTTCATTAGCTATATACTGACCCAATAAAGTGGGGGCATTTGTTACTCAAGTAGCTCATTATATTCTAGAATTGTATTGTTTTAGATGCATCAGGATCATTGCTGTATAAAAAAACGGGAAAGACACAGGTTTTTCAGAATTAAGTTCCTATGAGGTGTTAGTGATCTCTTGAACATTGCCTTTATCTCTTTATATACCATTTGGGTGCAAAAGTGTGATTTAATAATGATTCATTTAAATTGATAATTATGGAATTTTTTTTTTTTTTTTTTTGTCTTTTTGTCTTTTTTTCGTGACCGGCAACGGATCGCAACCCTCAGTGTCGCGCCCGTACCGGACCGGGACCGGCAACGGGATTGCAACCCTCGGTGTTGCGCCCGCACCTCGCTCAGCCAGTGAGCGGGAACCGGTCTGTATGTGGAATCCAAACCCTCGGCGGGAGCGCCGCCGCGGAATATTTTTGTATTTCTTTTTTTTTTTGTCTTTTTGTCTTTTTTTCGTGACCGGCAACGGATCGCAACCCTCAGTGTCACGCCCGTACCGGACCGGGACCGGCAACGGGATTGCAACCCTCGGTGTTGCGCCCGCACCTCGCTCAGCCAGTGAGCGGGAACCGGTCTGTATGTGGGATCCAAACCCTCGGCGGGAGCGCCGCCGCGGAATATTTTTGTATTTCTTTTTTTTTTTGTCTTTTTGTCTTTTTTTC